AAGATATGCACAATGAAGTTAATTTTTTAATTATAAGTGTTTTAATGGAGGAAGGTCACACAAGGATTTGTAAACTAACGAAAAACGAATACATTTTTTGTTTTTATGATTGTTTCATAAAATAAAAAAGTTATTTTTATAATAATAGATCATTATTTGATATAACTTTAAATTTGTATTTTTTATTTGATCAGATCATCTCAAATGATTATTTTGAAAATTCGGGTAGTTTACATTTAAAAAAATTTAAAAAGGGAAATTCACGAGAATTAAATTTTTTACGGGCGATGCCATGTACGATTATTGAGTATTTTATAATTCGATAAAATTCAAGTGTGGAATATTTTCGATATCATAAATTATAATAGTTATAACGCTATAAGCATCTATGCTTAAACATAACATATATTATAAACTATCAAGAATAATGAAGTATATTAGAAAAAAAATCACTTGTTTATCTATAATACCATTATTTTATGATGTTTTGATTCAAATATAATAACCTAATTCATTTGCACGTATTTATAGTCTTAAAGTGGTTTTATACATATTCACAACTGACGAGTGACGCTATAATTTAGATAAGACAATAGTGATACTCTGATTCAACTGATGCAACATTACTGATGATAATTTATTAGAAAAGAATCTATTATTTTGCCAAATTAAATGTATATTATATTTTCATAAATGTAATTATTATATTAAAAAAAAAATTACGTGGTATTTTAATGTTAATTAATATTGGTTTATTTTTTAATAAACTTTTAAATTTAAATCATCTCAATTAAAAATACCAACTTTGAGTAGGTAACATTAAATTGTGTTATCTAAATATTTATCTTAAAAGTTTTACGTCTTTAAAGAAGTGAAATGGATCTATATTCTTATTTTCATACATTTTAATTATTCTTTTTTTAACCGACAATGTTAGATAAAGTAGATTATAATATATTATAATGCAAAAATAGTTATTGTTATTAAATAACTTGACATAAATAAAAAAAAAAATATATTGCTTAACATATTTAAGTTATGGTATAATATATATATAAATACATAATATAGTTAAATAAGTTTTATGTATTAATTTTAGTTGTATCTTATTAAAAGCTTTATTTTTAATTAATTTTTGTTTTTGTAATTATTTTATTCCGAATTTAATCAATATAATATTATAATAAGAAAATAACATTTTTTTATTTTACAATTTATAATTATTTTATGAAATAAAGTAATTTTAATTATTAATGGCCATTATCAGTATTTTTTAATTTTGTTTGAATTGGATAGAGAATTTTTTTAGTTATTAAGATACTGAGAAAGAGATAATAAAAACAATATTATTGTTTACAATATTAATTAACATAAAATATTACTTGAGTATTGTTGATTATTCTTAAAAACAATTTTTTTTTAAATAAGCAAATAGAAAAAAATATTATGATGAAAAGTAGTAGTTTTATTTAATTTTTTGAGAAAAATGTATTAAAACTAAGACGAGTAATCGTGATTAAACTGACATTGATAATGGTCAATGGATATAATATATTGTTGAAAAAAATTAAACGTTCAATTTGCATCCAATTAGGTATCTAATGTCATGGAATACAAAAGTTTTTGAAAAACTTTTTTACAACTAAGATATTAAAAAAAAAAAATTTCATCGTTAAAAATCTGTATAAATCTTGATCTTCATATACATATATATTATATGTGATGTTTATATTCATTTACGCATCAATAATATCATAAAAAATCAATCATCTTATATTCATGTACAATTGTCTGACCGAATAAATAATAGTACTAGGTATTAATATGTTGTGTATCTGTGCGAATTGGTAACTATTAAACATTTTATTTTTTTTTAGTTGTAAGTTATATAATAATTACTATACTATAATGTTATACATATGATGGTTATTTTAAAATTATCTATAGTTTTAAACAATAATAATCGTGAAATATTTTAAATTAGTTTTGATATTGTATTAATAGGCTTTAGATATCATATGAGTATTAAGTAGGTACTTACTACTTAGTCATATATTTTATGATGAAAAAAATCGCATTCCATAGAGATTATAAACTTAATAGTAGTTATTTACATCTAAAATTGTATACATTATAGGTATCCTTTTATCTATTTATAATTGTATTAAACGTTTACAAATTCAATTTTAACTGTTTTAACTATATAAGACCTGGACGATTTAAAACATGGAATGTTTAAATTTACTTGTTTTAAACTTTTGTGAACATTAAACGATTCTAAATAGTATCATCAAAATGCTTTGTACCAAAAATAGTCAAGCCTGCAAAACGTCTTGTTTAAGATAAAAAGTTTTGTATATTATAAAATTAAAGAACTCAAAAAAAAAAAAAAATTAAATAAATAAATAATTTGAAAACAAGAGTCTTAAGTTTATTCATTCTCCGGAAGTAATTTTAGAAAATAGTCCTTTATATACACGTTGCATTAAAACGATATTTTAAATTAAAGTTTTAGAAGTATAACATTATTTATTTATTTTGTAAATTTGCTTATAATTAAGTATAGTTGTCGTCGTTTATGTATACATGATAAAATATTGCCGTTTGTAAGACAGACAGTTGTACAAAATACAAGCTAACTTGATTATGCCTAAAAGTTACAGAGAGACACGTACGTTAAAACTGAGAACTATTTTTTGTAATTATGAGTATAAAATATATCTAAATTTAAAATGATTAAACTTTAACGTACTAATTTTTGTGTAAATATAATTTTTTAAAACTAATAAAGGAACAAAATTTAAAGTTAAAATTACTATACAATTTAAAATATTTAAAATATTTCTGTTTGTTTATACACATTAAAGAATTATTTACTTACACTAACAATCTAAAAAGCATTTTTTCATAAAAAAAAACCAAATCATTTATTATAAAAACTAAAAAGTATAATAAGTATGATATACTATTTGTTCATTATAAAAAATATGTAAATTATATAAAGTTTACCTTAAAAATTAGTGTGAATTATGTGTCAAAGAATTGTAAGAACTTGTGAATAAAATAATCTAATATAGTTGATTTTGGTCAATTTATGTACATTAATTTTTTGATGTTTTTAAATTTATAGTAATTTTTATTTTAAGTGTCGAAGTTTATGATATAATATTTTATTTATTAATAGTTTTGTAAATTATGTTTATAGATATATGTGTTTATTTTTACATTGATATTATAATTTTTTAAATAATATAATGAGAGTAAATTCTCAATTTTATATAGTAAAATTAAAATTTATTAGGAATATAAAAATTTTTAATTCTTTTTATTCAGTTAATTTTGTAATTACACCAAAACTTGGCAAGTAAAAACTAAAAATTAATCAGTAAACGTGCTTTATTCGAAATAAAAGAACATCGATATAGCTGAAGGTTATTAAATCGTCAGATATTAGTATTTTAGGATTTCTTAGAAATTGTTTCTAAGATAATATTTCTATTTAATTTCTGCATACTATAATATTACAGTTGAAACATCATATTTGATTTATTTACTTGTAATAATTCTTAAAATTGCTTAATTTAACTGCTTTCTAACTTTTTTTTTTTTTTTAATTTCATCAGTATTTGCATTTTAGTATAAAATACTAAATAGAATGGTAAATTTTCTAAAAAATTTAACTCAAAATTATCGAGTTCTATTCATTAGTAATATTAGTAATGGACGTTCAAAATTAATATATTTCAAAAATTAAAAACATAATTTTTGTGGATTTGATGGTACTAAATTTATTATATTTTACCAAATATCAAGAATATCAGAATATTTCGAGCATAGATCCATTGGTTGAAATAAACGACGATAATATGTTTCAAATACGCTTGCATCAAATCTGTTTATCATTTTAATTAATAATAGCAAAAAAATTATATCGTAAATTGTCCGACGAATTTTCAAGTTTCAACATTCTTATATATTTTATTAAATAGTATAGCAAATTTATCTATTCTTTAATTTTGTTAAATTATAATAGTTTGTATTTATTTCAAATGATTTAAGCATGTTTATATTTAACATAAAAATATCAAAAGAGTTTAATGATTAAACGTATTTGGTGATATAGGATACTTGAGCAAAAATGTATTATGAATATGATTAATAGTTATCGATAAGTGAGTATAACAATAATTATTAAATAAGGTCATGAAAAAATTATTTTTTTTGTTTAGTGACTTAATGTTGAGAAAATTGTATCATATGATTCTGACTCTTATACAGAATTATCCCACTTTTCCATAGCTGCCATACTGCAAGGACAAGCTCTTAGTATTAGTAATTATCATCAACGCGTTTTTGCGGTTTTGAGTTAAATTTATCGGATTGTCGGAGGACGTCGTAAACGTATGTATAACGTCTTTATTTAACTAACGCATTGCATACTAACATTTATAATTTTGTATTTGATTAGCTATAATTTAAGATAAATTTACTTTTCATAAAACTTAAATACAAAGACATTAACTGTATTATTTCATGGGTTTTTTACAATATTTTAAGTCTTAATTAAATAATGAGCATTTTTAGTTATTACTGTTTTACATATATACATAATTCGTTTAAAAATTAAAATATCGTAAAAATTCAACAAGAAAATACAAATAATAATTTTAATTTTCAATTCAATGTTAAAATTCTATAATAACATAAAATTTGAACTGGTGAACGCTAATTTGATATGTTTTCTGTTTATAAGATGAAGACTACACTTGTGGGTACGACATCCTCTTAAAACATCGCTATCGCACCACACTCGAAAAGATAAGATAAGAAAGACTACTACATACAGTGACGAAACAACACTAGGGAGACGATGGTTTGTGTTCATATTCGTTCAGGCCGCGGCCGAGTCGTATCAGAAATTTCCCTACATGATATTCGTTACTGTCGTCAATACGTGTGTTACGCAAAATCCATCATAGATATTGTTGTCGCCGGTAATTATGTTCAAACTCGTTGTAGTCCTATCAGCGGCGCTTCTGTGCGCCCTGGTTCATGGGCAAGGAGATCCTGTTGTCGAGAAGATGGACGTATTCCGGTTGCCAGAAAACACAAGTCCCCTTTCGTATGTCTTGTGGTTCGCTCCAAATTTGAGTGACTGGACGGTCACGGGTGTGACCAATATAACGGTAAAAATAAATGATATCACTAACAGGATAACATTAAACCTCAAGGATTTAAACGTGACTGGCGTGTCGGCTTCGTTACACATGAATTCCGGGTCCTACAGAAATGAGCCGATCAAAGAATACGTGAACCTAACAAAAAATGAACAATTTGAAATTCGATTACAAAATAGTATACCCAAGGATAAAATATTGCTCTTAAGTATTAATTACAAGGGATATATTCGAGACGATATGACCGGTCTGTACAAAAGCTCATACATTGAAAACGGATTGATCAAGTGAGCACCTCTAAATGTTGAAATTTGATTTTTAAGAGAAAACTCTTCGAGTAAATTATCACACAATAATAAACTTTGAACGGGAATTCATTTTTTTTTTTTTTTTTGACTTAAGTCTATACTCAATCTGTCTGTCAACAGGTGGTTGGCCGTGACGCAATTTGAACCGACGTACGCGAGAAGAGCGTTCCCGTGCTTCGATGAACCCAAATACAAGGTTCCGTTCAACATATCAGTGGTGGTACGAAAGGGTCTGACGGCATTGTCGAATATGCCTATCATGAAAGTAGAGAGTGGGTAAGGATCCTTTTTAAATATATGTCAAATGCATATTTCATATTATATACGTATTATTACATAATGTATAAATGAAAAATGAATTTAGTACATAGACCTTTATTACATTCAAGATGCATTTAATGTTTTGAATTACAATTAATATTAAAATGGGTTTTTTGAAAGAACATATCAAAAATATGATCTTACCAGTTGAGTTTACAAATTTAAATTATTTTTTCGATTTTTTTTTTTTAATACACAATTAATAATGTAGTGACTATTATTCTGTACGTGAATATATAAAATACTAATATATCACTTTTGTTTATTAATGAATTATTCAACAAAAATATTTTAAATACTTTATATGGCTCGAAAATGTATTTTTTCGATATTCTTAGAATTAGAAGTTTTGTTGCAAATAATCGCTAAGAATATACTTGAAAAATTAATGTAGCACCTATGCATACTATAATATTACATTGCAGTCATAATTATTTATAAAAAGTTAATGGTTTTAATAATTTAATACAAAGATAAATTATTACTATGCGAGACACTTATTATTTATTTGCAAGATAGGCGGAAGCCACATAGAAACGTAAAAGATAGGTGCTTATGCGATTTACTCTAAAACAGTATGTTTTTCAAGTGTTCTATGAGTAATACATGAATGTATTGAATAAATAATATCTATTGACTGCTTATATGCTTACTAGATAATAAAAATATGATAACTATTATAATGTAATTACTGAAAAAAACAAAATAGAAATATAACAGATTTAAATTTTAATTATTATTATTGTTATTACTATTATTAGAGCGAACAATTTTGAATTAAAATATAGTTTTAAAAAAAAAATTTAATTTAATTTAATTTTTATTAATCACATGATTTTTAATAGTTTTCTAGTTTCTAAAAAATTGAAAAAATCAATTTTTGTCTTGTTTACACTCCTCTACTGCAAGTAATAGGTAACTCCTCATGGGACACTTATATAAAAAATATTTTAGTTACCTATTATTTAGTAAGCGAAATTATTGATGTAGAAATAAAAACATGATAAAAAATCTATTAACATAGTTTATGATAGCTATATTTAAAGAGTTTCACTTAATAAATTGATGATTCCTAGAGTTAAGGACAATTTAAAAAAAAATGTGTAGTTTACTTTATTACAAAATAAAAATGCACTTTTCTCAATTTTTTAAATATTTTGGTCACTTTTTCTACTTTTTATTAAAGAATAATCAGTATATTTATTGTATATTATATATGCATAGTTCAAAAGTTAATTTATAAACTATAATAATTTGGTAATAGTTGGTTAAAGACCTCTGGTTAAACTCTTGCATACAGGCCTTCAAACATTTAGCTGCGGTACTCAGTACATCTAGAAGTAAACAGTTCATAGAGAAAAAAACGCTTTCATGTTTTTTTTTGTCAATCGAACATATTAATAAACATTAATACTCATTGTCATTCATTGTAGCAGTCTTAATTAAATCAATATAATGATTTTAGTTGACACTTTTGATAAAAATATTCTATTATTTTCAAAGAGTAGCACTTCTTTATTTTACGTAATGATGAAATATTATAGCAAGCAATTATTTGTATAAAAAAAATGTATACTCAAACAAATTATCGAGATTACACATAAATAGTTATTAAGTGCCATCAAACATTACTGAACAACATCAACAATTATTTTGAATTTTAATTAGAATTAAAGTATTGTAGTTTTGATATGATTCACGTTGTCTAGTTAGCCTTACAAGTTTAAAAGGTTCTTATATAACAAGTAACAACAAAAATAAAAACTGAAAAGAGATGACGTGATGTTTGCATGTAATATTTATACTAATACTTATTTGTTAAGAGATATAGTAAAAACTATAACATTGCTATAATATACGAATGAGTAAAAAAATATACTTTGTTGGATAAGATAAAATTTAAAGTATTATATTAAACAGTAAATGTTTTTAAATTTAATTATAGTTATATAAAAAAAAATAAAATTACTCTTATTTGAATTTTAGTCCAGAAAACGACACGGTTTACTTTAGTAAAACTCCGGCGATGTCTACTTACTTGACGGCTATTTACGTAGGTGAATTCGTGCCAGACAAAAAAAATTCAAACATAAAAATTTACACACATAAAGAAATGCAAGATCAAACTGAATATATAGCAACCGAAGCTCCAAAACACCTCAAAGTACTGGAAAAATACACGAACATCGATTACATGCTTCCTAAAATGGATCTGTTGGCGATACCCGATTTCCAGGCTGGAGCGATGGAAAATTGGGGAATCAATACTTACCGGTAAAGTGGAATTGAATCGACATCGACGAAGGCGCTTATCAATTTATCTCGTTATCGTTAAACACTTCTTATTTTTTTTATAATTATGTCGTGTTTTTGCACAGAGAGAGCTATCTGTTGATGTCAAGTGATTCGAAAGCAAACATGAAAATTCGGTCGTCAGCAGTTGTGCAACACGAGTTCACTCATCAATGGTTCGGTGACTTGGTAACTTGCAAATGGTGGGACTATTTGTGGCTGAACGAAGGTTTCGCACGGTACTTCCAATACTTCGCAACCGGCATGGTAATGTACAATTAATATAAGGTTCATAATTCCACAATTTTGGTTTATGTTGTATAATGAAATGATTAAATTCCGTCTGATGTTATTATTGGTATAGGTGAGGACCAGTTGGTCGATGGATGAACTGTTCGTGGTCGAAGCGTTTCAGAATTCATTAGCATACGACCAGACACCTCGACATCCAATAACCGCGACTGTGAACACTCCCGAAGAGATCGAAAACGTGTTTGACATCATATCGTATAGTAAAGCGGCGTCGGTTCTGAGAATGTTGAAGTACTTGGTGACTGAAGATCTATTTAAATCATCCCTTCAATATTATTTGAACACATTCAGGTAAATAATAATTGTATACGATTTAACTTCAACACCCACTTTCTTGATTGTAAAAATTTCGTTGCGTATTTTATTGTATAATAATATATCAATATTTAATTACATAATAATTTTTAAAATTGTTCGATTATATTTATAGTCAAAATGTAGCAGAGCCTTCAGATTTGTTTGCATCATTCGATAATGTTTTATATGAAGCCGATTATTTCCTCGGAAATGATTTGACAGTCAATGAATTCATGTCAAATTGGACGTTGCAATCAGGGTACCCGGTTCTAAATATCACTAGAAATGCAACTACAAATACATTTTTAGCGACTCAAGTAATAAAGCAAAAACCATTATATTTTTATATAATTTTAAAATAAGTTTCAATCACAGATTGTAACTCAATACGACAGTGATAATATTCTGTTTCGCTCAAACAAAACAACCCCGTAAATATATTTACGCCATAATAATGTATTTATACGTAGACAAATTTTGTATTTGTATTTATTTTTTAAATTTTGTACAGAGCCAATTTTACATTAATAAAACCGATGGAATCGTTAACAAAACGGCGGCATGGCACATTGGTCTCACGTTCACCACCAGTGCGGACAAAAATTTCAGTTATTTTCAACCGCCCATTTGGACGAACAAAACATCGGCGTTGACCGTTATACCAACTCCTGATATACTCGTAGATATAGATTGGTACATATTCAACATACAATCAATCGGTAAGTGTTAATGTGGCACGTTTAAAGCAAAAAAAATAATCGATATCAAAATTATTTGCCTATTGATCAGGTTTGTACCGAGTAAACTACGATTTGGACAATTGGATGGCGCTGATAAAGCAGCTGAACAACACACCCGCCGATATCCATGTGCTCAATCGCGCTCAGCTCATAGACGACGCGTTCAATTTGGCAAAATCTGGCCAACTAGACTATTCAGTTCCGTTGCACTTGTCCAAATATCTGAGGAACGAATACAATATTACGCCGTGGTATTCGGCGATGAACGGTTTCGCGTACTTGTTAGAGCGCATGCCTCGTAGTGACGAAGGATACGCAGACTTTAAGGTACGCACGTATTTAAATTATAAACTTTGTGTGTGTAATGATAATAAATTAGTAAACGAGTATTAATGAAATAAGAAATTTTAACTTTTTGCGTACAGTCTCACGTTAGTAGCTTGGCTGGGACCATATATAATAAGCTAGAAAATCTCGTGTCGAATAATAATGCTGAGTATAAAGTGTTGAGTGCTTGGGAAACGTTTTCCAAGTGGGCGTGTAGGTTGGAGAACAAATATTGTACAGAAAAAGCACAGGAATATTTCAACAAATGGCAAGCAGGAGAGAAGTCAGTAACTTTATACTAGCACTTTGATCGTCTAAATACCTAACTTAAATTATTATACCGCACAGAATACCGGCCGATATCAAGGACGCGGCGTTCTGCGTCGGAGTAAAGAACAGCAACGGTCCATCGGTATTTAACAAGATGTTTGCGTTGTACAACAACACAAAGTCAATCTCAGAAAAATCTTCCGCTGAGTTCGCTTTAGGATGTTCTACTAACAGGACACAATTATCTGAGTACGTTATTAACTTATTGCCGTCAATATCATTTACCTTTGAGTGACAAAAATTTAATGCCTCAAACTGTCTGTCTCAATAAAGTCCCTGTTTTGTATTAATAACTTCAAGTGACGTTTTACAATGATTTGTTACTTGAATCTATAATGCACATGTTTTATGTGTCAAATTTACTTTTAATACGCCTGACTCTGCATTCTTTATGAATATTTGATTATACGAGTATAGAACAATATTAACGTAAATCATAATGAAAAACGAAAATAATGTCCTTGGTGTTAATTACTCATAAATTATTTCACTTTTAAAATGACAAAAAATATTTAATATTTACTACATTTAAAGTTTTTACATATTAGTTTAGAATACGGCAGGGTTGGCCACTTAAAAAAAAAAAAATAATGATTTTCAATATTGACATATATTAGAGTAGCAATCATAAATCAATAAGATTTAACTTTAATTGTGTTCCGTATCATTATTTTAACATTATTTTTTTTTTTATTTTAATATTTTCTCTTAACTACGTAAATAATTAATTTTGAGATTTGATTTTAGGTTTATAAACCATATTTTAGACGGACCCAAAGGACCAATCAAGAAAAACGGAATTAAATCTGTCGTATCTACAATATCAGCGACTTCATTGGGTCTCGATGTGTTATATGAATTTTTGTCAATCAACATAAACAAAACTTTAGATCAACTATCCAATGGTGAAGAAATTGTTACATATATTTATTCTACTCTTGCTTCTAAGATGACAAAAAATGATGAGATCGAAAAAGTGAGTCTTAAAAATCATAAAAAATGTGTACATGACTAACATCAGTACTGAAATATTATGCACCGCAAGTAGGTTTGTATTAAAAACAGACAAACTTGTGTTAATGACGAGAAATATAATCAAGATTTTCTGATATTATGTGTCTAAGCGATTCTTACAGAAATCTAATATAAATAGCTTGATTAATATTAAAAAAACTTAGTCAGTATTATGTATATCTGTCATGAATTATTTAATTTTATTTAATGTTCTCTCTTTAACCATCTTAACATGGTCCATCCTGCGCGGTGATTTCGTTAATAGGTAAACGGATGCGACAAAATATCGATTAATAAATAATTAAAATACTAAGTGGCTAGGTATTTCTGTTTTTAATGGTTAGGCATATATTATATCACAGGTTAATACATAACGGGTAGAATTAACAGAAAAGAGATCTTGATATATGAGATGATGTAACTTATTATCTGATGAATCGAATAACGAAAAATTATTAACTCTGAACTCTTAGTTGTAGATAAAATACAGATATCAGTTGGTAGTAGATTTCTGATAACAAACAGCTATAAATTTAGACCATATAAATCTGGTAATTATTTTATTATACTTTCAGATCAAAAAATTGAAGAACAATTCAACACTTCGAGCTTCCGTACGATCGTCGTTTGAAGAATCATACAAAAAGGTCGACCACAATTTGGCATGGTTTGATAGTTATTCTGTTGGAATTAGAGAATGGACGACTCAGTATGGAATAAAGGAAACCGTGATAGAAACCTCCACATCAAAGTCCGCGACGGTCATTCCAGTTGGCTCAAGCACTACTATTTCTCCTGTAACGACTCAACAACCGTCTGGTGCAACTTTGAACACGTATAGTAGTTTTGTGATTGTACAACTTATAATCTTAACATTATTAACTAAAACGTTGATTTTATAAAATTAAATTATATGATCCTAAAGTTGTATTACAAATTACAAAAAAATTATATTTATAATAATTATAAATATTTTTTAAACCTAACATTTTAAATATTTTCAGTCGATGAAATTGTATTTAATAAATGTGATAGGTATTAAATTATGAATTCTTGAAATGTTTTCGTGTATTATTAAATTTTACGATAAATTTAAACTGATTTTAAATTATTTCCTATTTTTAATAAGTATTCATACTTTATTATTAATAGTAAAATAAATAATTATAATATGATAATTATATAAAAATATGCTATTGTATAAATTATTTTATTAATAAATAATCATATGTAATTAGTAAAGACTGATGGCCTGTCTCTGCTCAGAATCGTTTATTCATATGCTACGGTTAATCATTCAATTCAAATTTCAAACATACATTAATGCAGTAAAATTATTATTCAATGTATATATTTTATAAAGTACATATAATAATATATGTGTGTACTAAACCATTCCAGATTTTAATTAATTATAATTTTTATATTCAATACGTACTCTTAACTAAAAAAAATATTGATATTTATTATGGTTTTTTCGAGTATAAACTCTTACACTACTCGATTAAAAAAAAATCTTGTAGTATACTTGAAAGTGAACATAATATTATTTAAAAAAATAAACAATGAATTGAGTTGATAGAAATAGAAGCAATTGAGGAATAAAGAAAAACGGTTTTCGTCTTGTGTTTGATGGAAAATCTTTCAACCTATAACCTTTACGAGCTAACTATAACTATTAATTTTAGGCAATATATAACACAATAATATTACTCCCAATATTTTTAGCAATTGGCCGTTCTAGTGTAAAATACTTCATGTATTAATAGCGATTATTTAAAATATATAGAATGTTTATTTAAAGATGAGGTTAAAATGAATAATTTGAAATGCGTATTTATATTTTCATAAAGTTAATTTTGTTCCGTCAATATAAAATCCACTATTAATGATAGTGGATTGGCTATGTAAATTTATTGGAAAAAAATCAATTCTTTCAAAAATATTTTTATTATTTTTAATTTTGTGTGTAGATACTATATAATATAACACAACTATTTTTAACAGAGTGTTTGAAATACTGAAGACACAATACATTTTATTCGATAACAGTTTTTTAGAACCATGAATATTAATTTTAGTTTTATGATATTTCAAATAAATTTAATCTTATTAAAATATACCTGTACAGTAGAATACTATAATATTTAAAATACGTTTTATAACTCAAAATTTTAGTGAATAGTAAATGCTAATATTATGTATTTTATTAAAGTCTTTTTAAAATGTATATCACAATAAATTTAATTAATACTATATTATAAGATTTTTAATCTGTATAAAGCAATTAAAATTTTTAAATATATTACTTACAAAATGGTAATACATTTGTGAAAAAAGTGAAAAATAGTAACTCTTTCTATGAAATACAATATTGAATAAAAATTAAAAAACTACGATTAATATGTTCTAATAAAATTTTATTAGGTGTATAAACAACTAGTTTTTGCATTTGAATAATTTTATACGTATTTTATAAAACATGTATTTTTAAAAAACGCTCTATGATTTCATAATACTATGATTTAGTAACTATTTTATTGATTTCAGTTTAAATGAGTAAACAATAAAATAAAAATCACTTATAAATGAAACATTTAATTTGAATATTGTAGATAACTAAAAATTAATTTGGTAGAAAAATATCTAACTTGTTATATTTGTGACGTCTGTCTAAGTACGATTTAGATAGAAAAATAAAATTCATATTGATGTTTTTCCTATTAAATCAAATACAGATTAATTAATATAGTTGCAACTGAGTGTTATAAAAGAACGGTTCAATGACATACTGATTATGTCATATTGGCATGTACGAATTGCGCCTAAACAATCAAATTCAAATTACGTTTTCATTGGAGTGATGTACATTATAAATGTCAATATTTAAAAACTAAATACAATCATTTAGTACATTTTCTTGTGTAATATCCATTCATAGTTAATTTTAGTTAGTGTTAATTAAATACTGATATGTATAATATTGTACTTATTTTGCTAATAAAATAATAATCACACGGCGTTATGTGCAGGCTAAATAGGTACACCACAGTCGTGTGGTCGGTTTCCCAGTACCTACCTTGTGTAATATTATTATGCAGATATAATAATATGCAACGTAACAGTATTCAATATTATGATCATACGCCGTTGTGAATTTTCACTGGATACGGAAGTCAGCTTTTCCGTGATTTATAAGTTTGTGGTTTGTCAAATTACAAAACATGAATGCATTGAATGGCTAAATATAAGTAAAATGAAAATAATGTAATATTGTAATATTATCATACATTTTAATAATTTTTGCAATTTAGTAGATTACTGGTAATTAATAATGAAATAGTTACAACATTTTTGAATAGTGAATAAAATTTAAATTATAGACTATAGTTTATATTTATAAAATACAATATTCTGTATCCAGCATTAATAATTTATAATGGACTTTATCATTTTAACGTATTTATAATAACTACTACTAGCTTATAATCTCTTTTAGCTGTGCTTTTAGTCTTTATAAATGTTCCAAAAACTAATAAATTAAGATCTTACAAGGGGATTTGTAGTAAATCAATACTTTCAAAAGCAGCTATATTCCTGATTTATATTGTGTACTTACACTAAAAAAAAATGTCCTTGTGCATTCATCAAGTTCTAAAGACATTTTTTCTGTTGTTTTATAAAAAAAAAAAAAATGAATGATGTTTATATTGATAATTTAGAGATTTTTAGAATTCTTCCATATTCCTTAAAAGTTTAGAAATAATCTAATAAGATATACCTATTGTAAATAAAAACTTTGTAAACCTGTTGGATAATAATATTAAATTTTTAACTTCAAGTTAATTACATAATAATTTATCAATTATCGTTATTTGTTCATTTGCGTTAATTATTGTTATTTTAGAAATATTAATTATCAATTCATTAAAATTGAAATTATACCATTGAAATAAGGATGAAATAATATGTTTGACAGCATACGAAAAAAAGAGAAAAAATTATTTAAATTATAATAAAGAATTATTATATAAAAAAATAAAAGTTATGATATATTTAACATATGTATTTTTATGGTATTATTAAGTATTGTAATCATTTTTTTTCATCGTAGACTATTATCTATCTTCATAAAAATATCTTTGGCTTGTGTTAGATACGGAAGAAGATGTACAAAATATTTATATATAAAAAATATATTCTAACTGAATTTATAATAATCTATTTATACTCCTATTTTTATTATTTTTTAATATATTGATTGAAATTATTTCATATTTTTATAATTTTTTTTTTACATCCATGACACATAAAATTATATTATTTACTTATTTAACATAAGTAGTATAATATTTATGTATTTATTGTTGGTTCTTCTCCATATATCGTATTATTATAACAACCTAAAAGACAGTAATCTTAAAATAGAATAAAAATGGTATATGTACAGATTTAAAATTTTTTTTTATTGAATTTAGGTATCTGCGGTGTTTTTAAATTACAAATATTTTACTCAAAAGTGATAAAAGCAACAAACAGAGACGCAAAATCTTAGCGAACTGGATTCAACATAAAGGAATATTTTTCTAAACGTTTACACAATGAGATTTAGTACTCATAACAACGGTTATATCCCGACTTCGCAAAATTAAAAAAAAAAAAAACAATTAATTATTTAAAAAAAATTTAATAATCTATTTTGCCGCTCGGAAAGAAAAATATTCAACAATGTAGGACACAATGATATTATTATTTATTATTGTTGTCACGAAACGTAAACAATTTATTATTATAATATATTTTATGTATTATTACCTATTTGGCTGTGTATCATAACAAAATTAGATCACAATATTGTAAAATGTATTTCATATTCGTGGTTTGGTGAATATACGTTAAGGTGTTTAATTAGACAATATTGCAAGCAGAACACTAACAGTGATGAGTTCAAAACCATCGATAGTATAGGGGTAGAGGTGATCATTTGCGAAACTCAAATTCCATTTGCATATATCGGAGAAAGTACGGTGTATTCCTACATACATAATAATTATAATAATAATATGTATTGTACGTGTAAACACGCGTTTTGTCGATACTTGATAAGCCGCTGCTACGTTATATGCATACATTACAGAGGTTCATCGTGACAAACATTATCGGTGACGACGTCTCGTTTATGTTTACCCAACATAAATACATCGATTATAATAATTAATTAGTCGGTATAATAGATCCGGGTAAGTATCATGATCATGATCACTCACCTAGTTAAGAAAACACGCGTCAACTAAGTGTAATAATGATATTATTAACATAATAATAAGTACGTGACTATAAAGTTATTGTATTTTCGAGTATCTATGTATACAACGATATCATAATTCGATTTTAAAATATAATAATAAATAATAGTACATAGAAATTGAAAACAATTCACGTAGTATTGGAGTGTAATTAATATTATAATAATAACTATTATTTTTTTGTTCAAAGGCTCTATGAAATGTAAAAATATGTTATCATATTTTGATTATGTTGTTATAATGTTGTGATTGTTATACTCACTGTTTCGTTGATTTTTGTGAGGCCGTCGATGTTTCCGGTCGGACGACGACGACGAAAATACACACGACTGCTGTGACAGACAGCAAAATAATAATTTTTGATAAATACTACGACAGATCGCGGTCCACAGTGTGTATTAGTATAGCCAGTATTTCGTCACGATTTCCACAATTTTATTGTCGTATACGCTTGTAAAGCGTATAATATTTTGATGATATATACTTACGCTCAAGTATTATATTATTCCAGCGGATGCGCAAACGTGGTGGTTGTAACGCACTACAGGACCGCTTTGACGCGGACGTGGTCGGCGACTGCGATGTACGGAGCCCTGGAAAAGCGAGAAATTTACCGCTACACCCTCGCTAGCCATCCGCGACGCAACCCCCCTCGGTGCGCCGCCACGGTCACCTACCACCAACCGCTACCGCACCATGAACCTATCTACCGCGGCCGCACCTTATCACCACTCGTTTTGGTTTTCCGCCACTGCCACCACCGCCGTCACTCCGCCAACCAACTACTCCACGGACCACATCCTTTCCCGTACACACACACATCCACACACACATCCACACACAAATATAATACGCACGTGATCCGAATGTTTTTTGGGTCAAACCGATCTTTTAAGCCTATAGCAGAAGATAAATTGAGACGAGATTAGCTGTCATCTCTTATACTCTGCGGCGGTTTCGAAATTGTTTTATTATTATTTATATATTATTATTATTTTTAAGAAAGACTACGGAGCAACGCAAATATTGAAAAGTTAAACTTCAGCTGTCTCGGTTCGCCAAATATATCCATCGCCGTTACCATCACCACCTTGATACCAAATATTAACTTGTCCGGAAAATCCTATACATCAAAAACTTTCATTTTCTTGCGTTCACCTTATCCTTCCGCCTCTGTTTTGATCACAAGTACTACATTTCCCGGAAATATTTGTTACGTGATATCATTTATTATTTAAATGTTGATTTTTCGTTAAAATTCCCCGTAGTGTTGTTTTCAAATATTAAGAATTAAGTGTAAAAAATATAACATTATAAATAAAAAAGTTTATTATCCGTTTGAGAGAATGTTCAATTTGAAATTCTGAGGAGGAGAAAAACTATTTATTGCAATAATGTAGCTTTTTTTTGGAAAACACTTTGTATAGGTAATAAAAAACTCCAAAACTTTTAAGTAGTATATAATACATTATATTTAAAAATTGGATCTAGATCGAATTTAAAATTTTTCATAATAATAAAAATATTATTTTTTTTTCTATTTTTATTTATAACTTACTTAATTTTAATATTTAAAAGACGTATTATTATTCAATTGTTATTGTAAATTAATTTTAAACAAATAAATAAATACTACAATGTTGAAAATTTGGTAATATTTAAAATATAAAAATAAAAAGTAATGCTTAAGTAAACTAAGTTCATCTAGGGACAGACAATTATTTGAATGTGTTGATTTATCATTGATATAAAATAATAATAATATAACACTTTTCAAGCAACAAGACGAAGTACTAAACACACAATTTCTGTATCCTGTCCGATTTTATAATTTATGACTGTAGAGAAATCCAATGGTTTTATACGATCATTACAGTGAGGGATAGTATTTGAGTATGGGTAGAGATGCTCTATAGTCTATATTATGGTAATATGCATATTATTTTCTTAAAAAATATATCATAAATATCTTTAGTTGGCAATTTTCAAAATACAGTGAAAGCAAAGGTTTTAGTAAAAAAAAAAAAAACAAATTCTTTAAGATTAATTTTTTAAGGATGTTGTACGGAAATACATTGTAAAAGGTACTAATAAAATATTACGACTTTTTTAAAATATAATACATTTTATGTTAAACTATTATACTTGTAAATTATACGTGTAAAAAATATGCAGCCTCTTTATACAATTATTTTAACAACTTAATAATAAGTAATAGTATTATTAATTTATGTAATATTTATATTTTCATACCAAATAACTAATTCGTTGATATTATATTTTAAATAACTTTAATACTACTATATGTATTATCAACGGTGGATAATATTTCTAACTCGCAAATGCTATTTTATATTTAACATAACAGAAAAATATAACAAAATAAAAAAATATTTATGTATAATTCTTAAAAATATATTAAAAAAATTACATATCCTACACAACTTTAGAAAAAATGTTGATACATAAAATAAAATATTCCAATATTCTCAGAATAAATAACTTAATTCTTAAATTATAATTCATAACGTTATTTTAATTTAATCTTGTAAATAAGTCAAAAAAATTCGAAGTTGATTTTTATGATGGTATTATATTAGAAATATATAAGTACCTAATAGTTAAACTAAAATCTATTATCATTATGACGTGTGAAAGATATATGATGAAAACTGTTAGTTTAATTAATAATGTACCGATATTATTGTCTTAACTCTCAAGAAGATATATAATATATTTTTAATGGATTATAGTTACTCGTATATATCTAAATGTAGTAATAAATACATTAATATACCTGAAATCTAAGACATTTATCTCAAGCTATAATCTCCATAAATTTATATTCTTTAATATTATACTAGAAGTGGAGCATTAAATTGTATACATATATTCCATAAGGCAATTTGGATTAAAGACAAATATTATCTTAATTCTTGTTTAGTTGGTTTTTTATTATTATTGATTATACATTTTTATCATCTTTAAGTATAAAGTGTTTTGTAATACAATGATATTTAATTAAATTCAAATAAAATAAAAATGTAATTTCTTTCACAAATCCATATTGCTAAATTACGAAATTATCTACAAATTTAATTTTATAATATTGCTTATATGTTTTACTAGCCTCGCTTACTTAATTATATTTTATTTTTAATTTTATAATTTATTTAATATATTTAAATTATTGAACTTTTTATATATTTTTAACGAAAAGGTTTTTTTTTTTAGTAATTATTAATATTATAAAGATTTTAGTCTTAAGACTTTTAATACACAGATATTTTTCTCATGACACGTTTTATTTCTGTTGATTTCTTTTTTACGTTGGTGATATTTACTATTAACTGAATAATGAATTTACCAAAGCGTTAAGTGTGAATTATCTACCTAATTAATTTTTTATATACCATTGTTTATTAATTTAAATACATTCATTTTGTATTAATACTGTAACTTATTTATGTAACATGTTTAAAAAATGTACCAATATGTGTTTGAGTTACATAACTAATTATTTTTTAATAGTTTACTAAATTAACAATTATTAAATTTCAAAGTTAATATTATGGTTTAAATTTGTACTGATTAAAATTGTATTGTTTACATTTCAAAAGTTTTGAGATGATTATATTTACTATTTTATATTTAAACACTTTTAAAAATGACAACATCTACAACATTATAAAATTATGAACATTAATTGTTATTTATTTATGATAATATTCTCTAAATTTTCACATTTTTTTATCTAAATTTGGTATGAATATTTTGAACTTATACTATAATAGATTTTTTATTCCTAAAAATAATTATTATTTCTATGTATAATAGCTTAATAAGTAGTGTAATTTTATTACAATTTTCTAATAATGTTGAATTGTTGTTAAATTAAGTAATTTTAAAGCATGTATTAGAGTATTTAGAGTAATTCACATTTTTTTTTTTTTTTTTACAGTATATTACATTCTATTCAAATTTTTAAATTGATAGCTTATCAAAACTTTATAAGTTATAATTAATAGTACTAATTTTTTAGTTTAGTGTAATTCAAAAATTATATGTTATACTATACCTAGTCATTTAATATTGCAATTTATAAAAAAATTGGTTAACTTATTTCATACAAAGTAGTGAAGACGTTTTGAATATATTATTGTTTTTGGCACTTTAATATTGTGATAAATAAGTATACTATATGCAATAAATATAGTAACAAACTAATAATTTGTTTACCTATATGGATACACTAGGTTAAAATATTCTAGTAAATTATATTAAAACATGAAAAATAAATCATCAGCCATAAAATTGAATTTACTTCTTATCATCAATAACATTAGAGTACGTACATAGGTACATAATAAATAATAGCAAGAGCAGTGAGTAATTAATTAACAACATCTCGCATAAACCTAATGATAGGTATACTGTCTTAATATACCCTTAAAAGTAATATGAGCTGGTATTGTAAAGAGAAATTATTAATCTTATATTTCACTAGTAGATGTACCATTAAAGGTGTATTCTGATAAAGTATGTGCTGAACATCCAAAATATTTTTTATTAAAGTAAACTAGCAATATCTCATTCATACTGCTGGGATGTTAAGTATTATAAAAAAATAATTAATAGGTAGGTATAGAATAAAATATATGAAAAATTAAACGAATTCAATTATTTACAGTCTTATTTAAAATAAGTACCGATATTGGATTTTCATTTTATGATCTAAAAAATATATATTATGCTGGTATGGTATTTTATAAGCGAATTCCTGTTTAATTAAATATAATTATTGTAATTATACAATATGTAATACTTTTATGAATGTTTAATGAACTAAACATAATTTGTTTATTTTATATATTTAATTGTTAATCGATTTACCTGATCAGTCCTCATATTATAGTAGTATACTTTTATCAATGAAACATAATATTATCACGGAATATCGTGTTAACAATCACCTAGCAACGGGATAAAATGGCTTATAAGAATATAAGAAGGGTAAACAATAAATAAACTCCACCAAATCAAAACAAATGTGTCATTTAATACCATGTCTCCTACAACGTTAAGAGGAGATAAAACAATGTTTTAAAAAACAAGGATATTTGAGATATTTCACACAAATATTACCAATTAAAAACAAGTGTTAAAAAATCTAATGTGAATATTGTAATTTGTAGTATATTACAAAATTCAGTTTAAAACTATCTACATAAAGGTAGACACTAATTGAAAGGAACATAATGGGATTTCTTAAATTTAGTTGATGTAAGGAAATTGTAGAAAAAAACTTTATTTACTTTTTTTTTTTAATATATACCTATTAAATTCAAATATTCAAAATAAAGACGCATTAAAATTAATTTAATTTTTGTTGTATTTTCAAATTGAATATTTGATCAATTTCGTAAAAAATTAATTTTAGTTTTAATAATTTAAAAATAAATGTAAATTTAATATTAAGTATTATTTTAAAATAAAAAAAAAAACGTAAAAATAAATTCTTAACCACATACTTCTTAGTTAATACTATTTTAATTTTAATTGTTAT